TGGATACTCAGTTTACTCAAGCCGGAGCAAAAACCAACAACAAGAGCATTAAGGAAAGAGTTTATTTCGGATGAATTATTAATCAGATATTGCAAAATTATTTGACAAAAATACCCCGACCATATATGCTCAAAATATCAGGGAGAAGATAATGTCATACCAGATGTCCAAATCGAATGAAGATACGTGGAAAGCAAAAAAAGAAGGACATAGAAAGAAAAAGTGATAAAATAAATAGTAAGAGTCATTCATGAACAGAAAAGGTCGTTCATGAAAGGTTATATGTGAATAGTAAGAGTCATGTGTAAATAGTAAGAGTCATTATGTAAAAGTTTTTTGTTTTCTAGTGTCGGCCGAAATAAAAAAGGCCATGTGTGAAGTAGTGTCGGTCACTTGGCCAAAGCAGTAAGTTTTCTTCCTTGTATAAAAGAAGGGCTTTCCCTCATAATAAAATAAGCCTTTTCCAATACACTCTCTGTCTCCTTCTAAAAATCCGCTTCCACCCCCAAATTAACTTATATTTTTCATCTTTTGTAACTCTTAATCCATACTGTCCACTTTTGTAGAAAGTGTAGTAATGGCTTTGAGTATTTCTTCCATTGTATCTTTTTCTGGCTTAGTTTGGGTTCCTTTGTCTTGATAGGTAGTCCGCAATAACATTTTCGTCAGTTTTTATTACCTCAATGGTAAATGTAAATTTTTTTATATTTAATACAAGCCTTCTTATTTCCTTTGTTGTCATTGAGTCTGGTATTTTTCGCGTTATCCATTATTTTACTTGTGTATTATCTGTTCTTACAATAAATTTGTTATAAACAACATATGGCTAAAAAGCTAATAAACATTTATATAATCCAACTAGTTCTTTTCTATTTATTTCCGAATTTAATTGTGCTTCTGTATAGGATCCTGAGTGATATCTGCAATGGTGTTCTATTTTTTCTTTGTTATATTTATATTTAAGATTCCTCCATAGTTGTGATTGCTCGAATCTGTTTCAACAATATAAGTAAATAATTTGTTTTCATTGGGGAAATATAGTTTTGGTAGTTTTTTATATAAGTTTTTAATATGTCTTATATGTTCTTTATCTTTATTGTCAAAATAATATTCGACATCTTTTTTAAGTTTTTTGTGTAATGGTTTTAAATGTTCTGCTAATTTTGGTATGTATTCCCTTACTTGGTTTACTAATCCTAAGAAGGATTGTAATTTCTTCTTCGTATCTATATTTTCATTAAGGGTAATTATTTAGGCTTATTTTATTATGAGGGAAAGCCCTCCTTTTATACAAGGAACAAAACTTACTGCTTTGGCCAAGTGGCCGACACTACTTTACACATGGCTTTTATTATTTCGGCCGACACTAGAAAATAAAAAACTTTTGCATAATGACTCTTACTATTTACACATGACTCTTACTATTCACATATGATCTTTCATGAACGACCTTTTCTGTTCATGAATGACTCTTACTATTTATTTTATCACTTTTTCTTTCTATGTCCTTCTTTTTTTTTTTGCTTTCCACGTATCTTCATTCGATTTGGACATCTGGTATGACATTATCTTCTCCCTGACATTTTGAGCATATATGATCGGGGTATTTATGTCCAATAATTTTGCAATATCTGGTTAATAATTCTTTCAAAATAAACTCTTTCCTTAATGCTCTTGTTGTTGGTTTTTGCTCGTTTATGAAAACGTTAACTATCCTAACTTTTACTTTGACGATGGTAAAACTACCGATTCTCTAACTGCGCTTGATTGTCTTACTAAGCGGTTGCCTGAGAAAAATATGCTTGATCCTGGATCGGAACCTCCGCCGCCTGAATAGATTATTAAGGTGATTTCGGAACACTCTAGCTATATTTGTCATTATGGTGAATGCAAGGGTGCCTCTTTCAGTTCTGCAGCGACACAACAATTCGTGTCATCCAGATCACTTCCATTACTGCCGTCTCTGTGGTGTAATGTTTTTGTCTCTGCCTCTTCTTGAATCTCATGTGGCTGAGAACCATCCTGAGAATTACCCTTCTGACGAATCTGAGTGATCTCATGGAATATTTTGGGTTTAGGAACTGCATTTTTGAGTTTGCTATAGTCTTGTTGAAGAACTGAGTGAAGTTCAATCAGTTAGTCGATATTCTGTTACAGAACTGTTTACGAACTACATTTTTTGTGTTTGCTTATTCTTGTTGAAAAACTGAGTTGTTGTTGTTCACTCATTGCTAAATACAATACAGAGCCATTATTTCATATGTTCAAAAGTAATTGCAAAGTAAAATAAGCCTCAATCCATTGACAATGCCAACCACAGAAGCAAACGGAATTTCCTAATTCAATTTACGAATCCATTTTAACTATTGATCTTGTGATAATTTGTCAATACTATGAGGAGCTTAAAGTACAACCAACTTTAGCATGGATAATACATTGTTAACTAATTTCTTAAGTTGAGAATTTCAATGATACCTACCATTTTTTTTAAAAAAAAAACTTTCAAAACCATAATAGAGCTCCATTCACCTTTTACTTCTTTCAAAAATGTAAACCCAGTTAATCATAGCCTAATATATTTGGGAAATTAAAGCAAAATCATGTATGGACAATATTTATTGAAAGCATATTTTACAAGATATTTTTCAAACAGAAAATCAATTATTCAGCTTTGTAAGCAAAAATATGTATGGATTCCATTTATAAACATGACCACTAGTTTCGTCTTTCAGTTGTAACATTATACAGTTGTAAAAGGATTGAGGCATAATGGCCAACGGCTCAAACTCTCAATCCTTTCTAAGATCATTGAATTCCATTCCAACTTAAAACATGAATTTTATTACAAAACATGTGTAATTGGCGTCATGGATAAAGATATATTAATCAGCAAATACAATGAGCTGCAATCTCTTCTTTAAAATGCACACAGAACTAAAAGTATTGGTCTGCAAATAGCTCAAATGGGTAAGGCATAACAAAAATGTTATGCTTAAGTAAAATTAAACAAAATGGAGGCCCGCTTTGTCTCTAGCCATGCTAAATGGCAATGTTTGTTTCCCCGATAACTCAATGGGGGAATTCAAGATGCCAGGCAACAAAGTGATTACACTACTGATTAGATTATTTAAAATGCACACAGAACTCAATGTTTATTTCTTTTTCTCATTTGTGATCTTATTGATTGGATTATTTGATTTAATTGTTTGGTTGCGACAGCAAAACTTGGAAAGTTAAAAGTTGAGCTGAGGGATTTGGAAGACAAATTGGTGAAAGCACTTGCAGGTGTGTCACTCTTTAAAAAAAATTTGGTATACTCGTCATTATGTATGCTGTTGTTCTTTGCTGACACTCAAACCTTTGGATGGTTGGGGTGGATTATAGATTTAGACCCCGTTTGGATGGGCTTAAATAACTTTTTAAAAATATTGAAAGTGTTTGAAATTTATTTTAAAATAAATAGTTATGTATTTAGATAGAAGTGTTGAAATTAAAAAAAGCTTGATGATGTGTTTAGCAAATAAGAGCATGTTTGGATGAACTTAAAAACTGGTCAAACTGACTTAGAAGTCAGCTTTTGACTTATTAGAGTGTTAGATAAATATCAAACTAACTTATTTTAACCCAAAAACTAAAAGTTAGGTGAGGGGTGTTTTTTTTTTGGGGGAAAAAAAATTACGCAGCTAAGCAAACTTATACTATATTTCATCATAGCTATAGTTTGCTATAATTACCATTCGCGACTAACATTATACATTAATTACGTGGGCTGACTTCGAGTTTGTCTAATTAGTCATGTTTGTATATGTATACTTCACCAAGATATACAAATACATATGTATAATATACAGTTCTTTAACCTACATACATATACAATTCACCACTCTCCCACTCTTTGCCCTCTCTCGCTCTCCTCTGTCCTCCCTCTCTCAATCTCGCTCTCCTCTCTCCTCCCTCTCCCAATCTCGCTTGTTATTTATACAAATTATATGTATAATATACAGTTATATACAATTATATACATATACAATTCACCTCTCTCCCACTCTCTGCCCTCTCTCTCTCTCGTCTCTCTCAATATCGCTCGCCTCTCTCCTCTCTCTCTTTCAGTCTCGCTCGCCTCTCTCCTCCCTCCTCCCTCTCCCAATCTCTCTTGACATATATACAAATATATATGTATAATATACAATTATCTAACCAATATACATATACAATTCACCTTTCTCCCACTCTTTTCCCCCTCTCTCTCGCCTCTCTCCTCTCTCTCCCAGTCTCACTCGCATATCTCCTCCAAATAACATGTAGCTAGAAAATGTAATTATCAAACTATACCTATAGAGAGTAATTAATTATTTTTAAGTGGCTACATATGAAAGTTTCCTTCTTCTTTTTTCAACTTAAAAATTATTTTATGTTGACCGTGTATATTATTTTTTTAGCCTTAATTTTTTCTATTTTTATTTTTATTATTACTAGTATTATTGATATTTTATTTTTAATATTATTATTCTTTTTTATTATTGTTATTATATATTATATTATTATTATATATCATTATTATTATTAATATTTTATTATTTATTTATTTTATTAATAATAATTTTATTATTATTATTAATAATAATTTTATTATTTATTATTGTTATTATAATAATAATAATTATTATTTTCATATTGTTATATTATTATTTATATTTATTTATTATTATTATTATTATTAAACTAATCAATTTTTATCATGTTAACAATTTTTAAGGGTATTTATTTCAGATATTTTGATTAAAAAAAGTGTTTATCAACACTTATATGCCAAACATATTAACATTTTTTTTTTAAATTTCAACACTTTTATTAACACATAACTACTTATTTTAAAAATAAATCTCAAACAATTTTAAAATCTACTTTTTTAAAGTTTTGATAAATAAATAAATTAATAAAAAAAAGAAAAGACCGAAAAGAAGAAAAGAAGAAGGTAAGGGATTTGTTTTTTTCTTCTTTTAATGCTAAACACGTGGGTCGGATAGCAAAATAAGATTTCCATTGTACTTCGAATTGGAACTAGATCTGTCCGGTGGATCAAGGGTTTTTCGTTAGGCAAGGCGGCTGGTATCAGAACAATCTTCCCTATAGCTGAGATCTTTCGATGGCGCAAGAGTTGAATTATTTATATGCGGCTGCAGGGATGGAAACTGCTGCATCAGGTTTTTCGATGGAGCAAGAGTTGGCTGATTGGTCGGAACTTCAATATGATCTGCTTGCTCTAATTGCTAGGCGTTTGAATCTCATTGAAGACTATCTAAATTTTGGCTCTGTCTGCAAATCCTGGCACTCTGTGTCCACCAAGGACAATTTCAACAATTACCTCTGTAGAGCTCCTTGGTTGATGCTAGCGGAGGAAGAGGATGATGACGGAAATTCCATTCGGAAATTCTTCAGCCTCTATAATGGCATGATTTTGAACAAGAGAATTCCGAAAGCCCGCAGAAAACGGTGTATGGAGTCTATGGGTTGGCTTATCATGATAGGAGAAGAGGAAGGTGAAATTAGTATGCTGCATCCCTTCTCTGGTGTTGAAATTGAATTACCCCATCAAAATACCACCGTAGAATACAATCGTTACCGGACTGGCTTGAAGATGTACTTTTTTTACAAGGCAGTTTTGTCCTCTAGTCCTTCTCATACATCCGACTACATTCTCGTGGTCATTGAAGGAGCATTTAAGTTCCTAAGTTTCTGGAGACCAGGTGATATTAGATGGACTAGACTTAAATTTCAAGGAACTGATCGCGTCGGTACGGCTTTTTATGATTTGATATATTTTAATGGCCAAATTTATGCTTTGGATTATTCCGGTATTCTGATAGTTTTTGATGTTGCTGATGCTGTTGGCACCCAACCTACTAAATATCATATCGTAGCGCACATGCCACTTCCACCTCAACTTCGTCGTGAACAGTTATACATTGTAGAATCACTAGGATCATTATTTGTAATTTTGCGAGATGGTGTTCATTTAAGGTTACCCAAAGATGATCGTGACAGGATACCATTAAAGCTCATCCCAGATGATGATGATGATGATGATGACTACACATATGGGACAACCAATTTTCGAGTTTTCCAAGTCGATTCAGCTGCTGGCATAATGACGGAAACCAGGGAATTAGGGGACACAACTTTTTTTCTAGGTGCTAATAGTTCTCTCTCAGTCCAAGCTTGTCAATTTCCAGGAATCAAGCCCAATCATATTTATTTTACAGACGATTGTTTTTTAACATACCTAGCCTATGAAGAAGGAGGAGGGTTGGACATGGGGGTGTTCAACCTAGCAGATGGAAGCATTCAGCCGCATTACAATGGTGTTTCCCTCAGTCGTTTTTGTCCTCCAACTTGGGTAACGCCAACTCTCTATTGAATTTCAGTCATACATACTCACTCATCCTAGCTATTGTTTTACTCAAAAGTTTTTGAATGTTTTGATTTATCTTTCTTGTTTTCATATAATTGGATGCTTGAGTATGTTGTGGTGGAATACGATCTAGTGATCCAAACTTCTTTTTTCTTCTTTTCATCCAATCCTTAATCCAGGTGTATTACAATGGTGTTTCATCAATCACGCAGATTATTAGACATAGTCAAGTTTTCCCCTCTTTAAAAGGCCTGCCATGTTTAAATTAAGTCAAATGAATAGAAGTTTAAAAGGCTTGAGTCTTTTTTTTTTACAAACAATTTTATTCATCTTCCAAAACACACCATTGCAATTGATTTGAGGCAGACACACAACCCAATTTTTCCCTCCGTGTGGAATATGGGATAATGTGGGATAATCTACCTATTGTAGCTGAGATGAAAAGGTAAATGCCTAAGATAGGTATCCCATGTGACTAATACAATTTATACACAAATATGGGAGGATCTTATGAATTTGTCACGGAGGGTCGAAAGTGAAATCTGTCTTTCTTTTGTTGGAGACTCTTATAATCGAAAGACTCCAACGATCAATTGCTATAAGCCCTTTGATTTGGGAGGGGAGTTCACCACTGTTAGAGTATAAAATGTTGGTGTTGTAGTTGTGACTAAGAGAAGTTGGCTTGTCCGCCACTTGATTAATCTCCCAATAGCAATGTGTTATAGAGTATTCACTTTGATTGAATAAGTCCTGCAGCCTTTTGACTTCATTTGCTAGTGTCCAAGGTGGTGTAGACTTCTTCTTAAAGCAATCCACCAATAACTTGGAATCACTCTCTGCGTGCACATTTTGGTAGCCATTGTTTTTGCTCCAAGACATTCCAAAGAGTAAAGCTACTGCTTCTACCCAGTTGTTAGTGCCTTGTCCTAATACCAATGAGAAAGCTATGATGAGTTTGCCTTCTTGATCTTTCACAATCCCTCCTCCTCCACAGCTACCATTAGTGTTAAGTTGAACAAAAGAGAGAGAAGGTTTGGTCCACTTGATGAAAATATATTTTTGAAAGTAAACATTGCTTGAAATGATTTTTTCGGACCTCCTCCCGACTAGATGGTTCACTTATTGGGAAATATTGGAGGCAATCTAGGAAATGGATTTGTTCACATTGATCTTTTGTGAGCCATATTTGGCCTCACATCGTGATTTCCAGATCTCCCATATAGTGAGAGAGCAGGGAGACATTTGACAATGATACTACACACTTGATTAGAAGTCTTTTGTCTCCACTAATCGATTAAGTGTTGCCTGAGAGGTATGTCCTTGATAGGAATTCCAATTGAACCACAAATGACTTTCCAGACATCTTGAGCATAAATTTTTTTCCCCTGCAAAAAAGATGGTCAGTAGATTCAAAAGTAGAAATCCTACAGCAACAACAAGTACTTTTAATAGCGATTCCCATTTTAGCTACTCTAGCATCAGCGGGGAGCCTATCTCTCGAAGCCTTCCAAACAATAAAGTTCATTTTGAAGGGGACAACTTTTTGCCCAGTCATTGAATTAATCCAATTTTTGCTTTTTTTTGTCTTGAGAGTTGCCAAGAAGAAGCAATATTGAAAAATTCTGTTGTTTTCATAGTCCAAATTTGCTCCATCAGGGATATTTTCCCTAATAACAATTGTCATGGAGCGATCTTGATTCTAACATAATCAGGTGGATAGATATATATCCCAGCCATCCCAATTTCTATGGTTGTCTAGAATAATGTCCAGGAAGAAGATATTTCCACAATGGGCCTAATTCCGACCAATTATAATACCAAACATCGATATCACCCTTGGCCAATCTTCTAAAAAATGCACGTATCTACTTGGCTCTTGATTTTACACATTGCGTTCCAAGCTTTAGATTGTCCAGAACACCATAGCTTGATTACCGAGTGTATTCTTTGGCAATATTTTGTAAATTTGGAGCTTCAGCTGTACAAATAAAAATAGTGAAAAAATGTGCTCCAAACTAGGTGGAAATTCTATTTTTCATACATAAACTGAAATAAATTCTTTTCCAGAAATGTTGATGTTACAGTTAATGGCACTATAGGAAGTTACTGTTAACACACTTCATAGGTTGAATAACTGAAATCTCATGGAACACAAAGTGAGGTCAGAGCAAATCCACGAGAGAAGCGACCTAATAAAACAGAAATTATTGATGCATCACGTAATAGATCAGCGCCCTGCAGATACTTTTATCTGTTTTTACTTGATTTATCTGTCTCATTGTATGCATCGTGCAACCACAACCAGAGAGAATTACATGGTTACTATCTCATCGACTCAATCACATTTCAAGACACTTCTCCTTAACAGTACATTAAAACTAAACGAGGCTGGCAAACGATAGGGTTAGCTGCTTCTCAACTGAAAAGGTACAGGTTCATAATTTTGACAGGGTTTTGGAATTCATTAAAGAAGATGGATACTATGATAATTAATAATAACCTATCAAAAAAGAAGAAGAAAGATCAAATGTGATGGCAGTATCTACATGTAATTGTTACTGAAACATTTGTTAGTCAAAAAGATAAATTCCATAATATAGACAAAAGATGTATATTAGGTGAAGTTCATGAATTTTAAGCTCAAATGTTACCGCTATTTGGCATGAGAACTCCAATCCGGTTCAGTTTTGGTACACATTATGACTGATCATTACCTGAAAAACCATAGCATAACAGAATTCAGTTATTTTAATTAAAGGGAAGAATAAAAGAAACAAACACCATTAGCTAATGTATTTTCTGGTGTCGGCTACTATTCTTTTTTTCTGAATCAGTTGCAAAAAAACAATTTTACCCGACCATCAGTTTTTGTACAGTCAACCATACTTGGGGCATATCATTACTAAAGAACTTATGCAATCTACCATAGAACAACAATATGAGCTAATATGGTTGAGCAAGTATGATAAGTCGATTTGAAAATAAGAAATGTCTTCTTATTCAGGTCAACTCACCTCTTCCATTGCAAGTGCAGGGACATTTGCTTGTATAGACATGTCTTCTATCACCTAACCAAGTTGAGTCATGGAGAAGTAACATGATACGAACCGTTTAGAGATGGGAATATCACGCCAAATGTACATTGTTATAAAGTGGCAAATATGATAACAGATTTCCTTTAGAAAGTTGGTGAATCAAGAATAGAGTACACATATTTAAAGCAGTAGTTGCTGCCAAAAAGTATCGATTAACATGAATACAGTAGCACCTCATAAGTCCCTTTTTGCTTTTATTGTCATCCTGCAAATTGATTAAAAAAAGAAAATAAACATTTAATAACAGCTATCCTCGAGACCAGGATAGAATCCACATAATTGGACAAGTATATATTCTTACATATTAGAAACATTATTTACCAGTTCTTTTGTTTCTCGCGGTGCTCTGGATGAACATCATCAAATTGGCCCTATACATTACAAGCTGGGATCAGTTGCTACCTTGTTTCTGTTTGAATTGAAATGAAGAAAGTCAGTGAAGAGGAGAAAGAAGCCAAGGAAGCTCAAGTTTTGACTACTGGGAAGCTTCTCAATCAAACGAAATTCAGAGACAATATTGGGTCTATATCTTAGCTGGTCCAAATGCAGAATTTTCTCTTGGGATCCTGTTCTTCTTAACTCTCTTCTGGCTCTTCTAGCTTTTCAAAATATTCAATTTTGGTTATTAAAGCTCTTCTTAAGCATTAATCTATCTAAATTTTAGCATCCAAGAAAGGTGCTTCAGAGCAAGACGCACTCAACTACAAAGGGTTTCAAGTAAAAAGGTATGTACGTTTTTTCCTTTTCAGTAGATGATATCAATACAATATATGTGCTTCCTAATTAATCTGTGTTATGAGAGATTTAAGATCTTCAGGTTATATTTTAAGATATTGTTATAACCAACAATTTTTCAGCATATATTATGAGTGCTTTTTTTCATTTTTAAAGAATGAGTCTTGTAACGCTCCATTTAGGAACATAGTTTAATGTCAGTGATCATCATGTTTATTTGGATGTGATGTTTAAATTATGCAGAACAATATCTAATTCTGCTAAAAGGATGAACAGTACATTAAGGGCAATTTTGGTATTTCACATCTATTTTGTTTTATTTTAAAAAGGAAAAAGGGTAAAATATGCTCCTAAACTATTCGAAAAGGTCTAGATATATCCCCGTTTAAAGTTTGATCTACTAATATCCTTGCCGTCCAACTTTTGGTCTACATATGTCCTTACTGGTGTTAGTTGGCCAACTCGAAATATCTAACTCATTTTACTTTTCTTTAAATGCAAAATGGATTTTTCACGTCATTTTTATATATTATCATTTGACATTTATATTAAAGGAAAAAGGGTCAAATATGCCCCTAAACTATTCGAAAAGGTCTAGATATACCCCATTTAAATTTTGGTCCATTTATACCCTCACCGTCTAACGTTTGGTCTACATATGCCCTTATGGGCTATAGTTGGTCAACTTGAAATATCCAACTCATTTTACTTTTTTTAAAAATGTCAAATGGATTTTCCACATCATTTTTATATATCATCACTTGACATTTATATTACAAGAGAAAGGGGTCACTTATGCCCCTAACTATCCGACCCAATTTTAAAACACATATGCAACCCATCTTTTAAATTACTTATACAACTCGACCCATCTTTTGAATACCCTATATGGGTCGGATTAGGAGCATAATTGAACCATATAAAAGGCGAACACTATCGTGCTCTGATTGGAACTGCCAGGAATCAATGGCACGGCAACCGAAGGAAAAGAAAGTCGAGATTGGAAAAGTGTTTCGACGCAATGCAGAGCTAGAGGAGTGTGCAGCGCTACTGAGTGCAGAGGCGCAAGCCTGGTAGGCAAGGGCTAGAGAGGAGGAATTCGCCGCAGCAATGCTACAGGCACAACTGCAAGCTGCAGCAGGCGATGATGATGTAAATAACAGAACAATTCACACACATATATGGGTCGAATTAGGGGCATAATTGAACCATTTTAAAAAAATTAACTGCAAGCATTTGAAGAGTTGCATTGTAATTTTAAGTACGAAAATTACATGTGGACAACGAGTTCATTTCTTAAGTACAAAAATTATATGCAAGTATACTCTTCAACTGTTGTCTCATACTTGCATATAATTTTAAGTGGACTTCAAACATTTGAAGAGTTGCGTTGTAATTTTTTTTGAAAATCATAGCTATAGAAGAGGAGGGCTAGGGTGAGGAGTTGGGGGGAAATCTAGCAAAATTCTATAGAGAATTGATATTAGTTCTATTTGCTTGCTTATATTGTAGTATGAAAAAGGACATGATGTTAGTATAAGATGTATCATCCTTATCATAGTTATAGGAGATGTGGAGTCAGAAGAGTTTGTGAAAAAATCTACAGAAATTCTTTAGAGCATTGACACAATTATTGTCGTTTTCGCACTATACTCAAATTATAGAAGCAACAGTGAAGTTATTCTATCAACAGCAAAATAAGATTGCTTTCAGACTCTCTCATTTCATGTTTATTGCTAGGTATTTGCTCGACATCTTTTGTCTATCGATGGAAGGAACTAGTGAAACTTTGAGTTGAAAATACATTGAAAAATAAAAAGACAAGGGTTAGTTGCTGGCAGACATTTCCTTCATGTTTTATTGTGAGTCATTTTAGTTCTCCTTTTCAATTTCATTTTTTCTCTTCGCTATTTCTTTAATTCTCTAAGCCAGCAACACTATTGTATATTTTTATCTCTTCGATTGAGTTGTGTTTCTAGATTACATACATTGTATGCCCCTTTTTTTCTTCGAAAATAGAGTAAAGTATTGTTGGTTTCATTTAACAATTAAGATTTGAAGTAGCGCAAATCAACACAAATTGATTCTCTTAATTATTACATTGATACCCAAATCATAATGATTATGTGTTTTATTAAAGGGAATACTGTTATTTGCTAGCAAGTCAAATGAATCACTAACTATGTTCAAGTCAATGAGGTCTGCCTTCTTTTTATCTAATTACTTGTTCATGGTCCACTGTAGAGAACAACTAATGAGAGTTACTGTTACTATAATTAGGTTAGTAAGTTCAACATTAGTTCCTAAGACACTTTACCTTGCATATAAAACTTTCAAATCAAGCTCCAATGCAATTTCAGCACTTAGGACCACATTCTTTTTTCTGTCATAACCCCAAGGTTTAATAAATCTAACAAAAAGATTTGTTTTTCTGAAAATTCCTAAATGATGCAACGGTTAATTTGTTCTGGTATCGACATACTATAGAGTGTAGTCTAAAACATCTATTCAAGCACCAATTTTTAAAGCAAAAGGAAGCTGACTTTTACCGACAAGCAGTATAGAGCATTCTTTAACTGGTTCTAATTTTTATTATCTTACAAATCACAAGTTTCATCCTTGTAGAATTCTTTCTTGCAGATTTTCTTCCCAGTGGAACCCAACAATGAAAAAAAATTGTTAATTACTAGCTTCTTTGTTTGATGTCTAAGCCAGAGCTTATTGTAGTTCAACTTCTTTTTAGATACTAAATGATGCATCCTTATTAAAGAAGTCAAAAAGAAAATAGTTCACATGAAACTTCAGATGATTGTCTTGTCTCGATCTCAATGTTCATGTTCATAAGTTGCGCAAAAAGTATCTTATATGGGGTGAAACCTCTTGCAAAAGGCTCTCACATTTCGCGGTGCTTGAGCAAGAGATACTGAAACTCTAGAATGACTTGCTGACGATAATTATTATTACTATTTATTGTTTTTGTTAAGAGTAAAAGATTGATTTTATCTTACATTGGCGTAGCTCATGACTGCTTATTCTTCATTCATCAATATGATTTAGAGAGAGAAGCTTGCCATGGAATTGGAGGAGGATAGAAGATCACGGAAAGAGTGAGAACATTGTTGAAATATGTGAGTTCAGCTATTGTAAACTTCCTTAGACCATGTTGTCTCTTTTAATTGTCCCGAGTTTAACACTTTTTTACAGTTTCAGGTAACACTCCACTTAGGACACGATGAGATGCTTGGATTTCATCTAAATCAATCCTTGCTTTTGGTTTGGTTAGCCATTTTGTTAAGCTTTTCTCTAATTTTTCCATACATACTCTAGGTTGCTAAGCTATTATGCATTTCATTTCAAATTTTTTATTATTATGTTATGTTGTCATGTAGTTTTATCATCTTTCATTGAAAAGTTCTTACTTGCGTGTTTTGAAAACTGGTAAAATGCATTTGAACATTCGAGTTCTCTCTTTTTGGTTTCTTAGTGTTAGAGTCTATGCGTCCACTTATCAGTCAATGGACCAAGTCCCTTGACACACAAACAAGTATGAACAGAAAGTAAATGCAGTTTAAAAACACAACAATTTTACGTGGAAACCTCCTTGCTTAAGGGAGTAAAACCACGACCTGTCTCACAGGATTTTCACAACTGTTTCACTAATCTTCGTAAGCAAAAGTAAAACAAGTTATACAAATGTGAGAAGAAGTTTTTAATCTCACGATCAAGCAATAACTCTATTGCTTGATAAGCCTAAGTAAAAGTTATTCTACTCACTAAGCTATCCCTTCTAGACAACTTAGAATTTCAACACCACCACACTGATTCCTTTATAGATTTAGGAACAGTTTACAATGTACGACCACAAGAATATATTCTCAAACAACTACACGATATGCTCCTGAGTTTTCAGTTGTTATTGAATAATTCTTCACTTTGATTTTCTATAGCCTTTGCAAATGTTCTTGAGAATATTTTTCAAGTTGCAAAAACTAACTAATGATGTTTAGAAAAGTGACATTATATAGACAAGTCCTTTCCTTAAACTCTTGCCATTGGTTGGAAAGGTCTGACTTTTCTGACGCCGTTGAAAAATGTGCACCTACTTTCTATACCTGCTCCAACTGACAGTCAACAGGATGTTCATGTTGGGAACCTGGTACCTTTACAAGGTTCCTGAGTTTGTCACATCATCAAAACTCATGTTGAGAACCTGGTACCTTTATAAGGTACCATTGTTTGTCACATCAGCAAAACATACAAATAACACTTAGAGATAGCAGGGACCGAGGATGCTCATCACCCTAATATCCTTATAATGATAAAATCAAAACTACAATATTAAACCACTGAACTCTCAAATCCGGTCACAATATAAATTCTAAATTTGAGTGTAAATGATATTTCTTCAATTGATAAATTCAATAGATTACAAAAAGAAAGAGAAATGGGTAGAGCATTCTCAAGAAGGGTTTCAAAGAAAATACAAAAGCAGTAGAGTACGAACTCACATAACCTCCAATTTACCCTTTAATGACTTGATAGAAACAACAAAAGAAAGTCCGGATCATGCCCCTTAATCAATTATTTTGAGCTTGATTATTTTTTAATAATTTGAATGGAAATGTATAAGCCTTGAAATGGCTGATGATTCAGTGAAATCATGTTCTTATTTTTTTTTAAGTTTGAACTAATATCATTTGAAGGTACCTTAAATAAATATAAATTGAGTATATATGGTTCTCTATTGCAATGTTTGTATGAACTAAATCTCAGGTCTTTAAATGGTATTTCATTATGACAAATATTATTATTTTTGGTAATTCAGTTGGCCACTTACAGAGATAAAAATACAATAATTTTTGTGGATCAAAATATTTAGTGTGATCAAGATGAAGAGTAGTGAAGATGTTGGTGGAGATTTCTTATTTCGAAATGTAAGTTCACTCCCCTACAATGTCTTAGTAGTTCACAAGTATATTTGTACTTAGGGTAAAGACCGGAGTTCAAGTGTAAGAACGGAGTCATAACAAAAAGGTTGATAAACTTCTTGATCTATTCAAAGCTAGAGCTCACTAAGATTGCTGATAATTATTAAAGCTTTTACTTATTATTGTCTTACGTAATTTTTTTGTATAAAAATGTTTATCATGTTATTATGATTTCTCGAACATATTTCCGTAGATCAAACACAATAAAGTCATATTAGAATTTGAATTGTCGGTCCGTGCTTAGCACGGGTAAGAACCATCTAGTTGTTATTATTACTATATAAAAGAGCCATGTGGGGGACGACCACTGGCACTTTAGCAAATATGACTTTCATATAAGGACAAAATGGTAATTATATTCCATATGTTTTTTATTTTATGATGAGATATGTAGATTCTAGAATACTTGCAAGTGTAATAACAAATAGGACAAATATGTTTTTCCTTCCTTGATATACATTATCAGTAGATTCGAGAATACATCTCCCTCTTTCTTTTTTTAAGAGTTGTCAGCTTTTGTTTTTCTCAAAATGCATCAGCGGTGGTGCTATTGGTGGCGAAGGAAAAGTTTCCTTCAAAGTCGCTCTCACTTCTGATCCTAAAGTGTCTTTCAAAGTGTATGCATTATTAAGTACCTTCTATTGGAGGAGTATATCTTTAAAAAGAAGAAAAATCATATATTATTATAAGTGGAAAGATTTTAAGTTCAAAGTTAAATTATGAAAATATCCTTCATAGAATTTTTAAATTATAAAATCTCTTACTAATTTTTAAAATTAAATCAATAATGACAACTAAATTTGACCAAATACATGATTAGATGTTCATTTTCCATATCTTAATGAATTTAATTGTTAAACCTTTTAGCTTCTACCATTAAACACATTCATTCACAACTTTTCATCTACTTAATTCTCCCTTTATAAATTGGATAAAAAATATTAATCCACTAAACTTTGTATTTCATCATCTAATAGTTCTTGTATGATATTTTTTTTTTATTGGTCACTATTTTTTTTTTCTTATTGATTTGTGTCTTCGTTCATTTTTTATTTTCATGTTTGTTGGACAAACACACATCATCTAATAGTTTTCATGTAATATTTTTTTATTGCTCACTATTTTTCTTATTGGTTTGTGCCCTTCATTCATCTTTTTATTGTAATGATAGTTGGAGTATTTATGTCCGAAGAAACTTAAGTCTTGGGGCTTAGAGTTTTTGAGTGATGATTCTAATTGGTAAAAATATTGTTCTTCCTTACAAGTTGCTCATTATTCCTCCCAAAAAATGTTGATATTTTAAGTTCTAGATAGAAAGCAAACACTAGAAAGAGTTTGTTTTATATGCACAAAAACACATATAGGAGTACTTGGGACAATATTTAGCAATTTTATATCAACAAGAGTTGGACCTATATAAATTATAAGAACATGAAAGGTCAAACGTGCAAGACACATTTTCCATTGAATATTGATTTATATAGCAGACTTTGAGGCATATTTGTTAAGATTAATATCGGAAAATAAATATCAACTTAGCTACCATTTCTGAAACCAAACAAGACAGATACTTGGTTGAAATAAGGTCACAAAAAGTATCACAAGGACCGCTGATGTTTCTCTTAATTTTAAAGTTGTTCTTTTTTATGGAGGGAAGGATACACTAAAATCGCCTCTACCAGAAAATTAGATCATGAAGAAGGCGTCAATAAGCACTATAGTTATTACAACTTTAGTTTATCTGTGTTGTAGTAGCCTTGCCTTTGGGAACGACATACCTGCAAGGAACTTTTTAACAGGTTTCTACTAGCCATTTTGGCTTGTCATGTTGATTTTGCATAGTCCTTCATTTGTTTGGTGGGTATTAGGTAGAACTGAAATTCAAGTGTTTGATGAAAATTTAAACGCTTGTTTCCTTAGGCATATATAGCCAGTAAGTACTTCCATTCAGAAAATAGATTCTTAAAAGTTGTGAGCCATCAAATCTCCAGCTCTTCAGTTTTGGGGTTGTAGTTTTCGGACTCTACATGTTATAACTACAATATCTATAGCATTGACATTCCCTTAATTCAATTAGGTTGACAGGATTGAACTTTTGGCCTATGACCATATATTTTCCTGTGGAAATATGTACATTGTGCAAGGAAAAAAAATGGATACATCTTGAAGGTTTTAGTCTGCTTGGTTGAGCATTTCTGGAAATATTAATAGTTATTCTGAAAAAAGTCATAAGGTGCATGGTGATTTTCTTTTCAAGTTTTTCTATGATCAGATGTTCGTTTGCTTACTACATTGTTTTTTAGGATTTCTCTGTTACTCCATGTATCCATCCATCCATGTCCTGTTGGTAACTGGTAAAGTGGAATCATTTAATTTAGGATTTGATCTTAAAGGTTCTTCACTAGGACGATCTGCTGATAAGGTTGAAATTGATGAGAACACTATAGATACTTAAGGATCTAGATTTGAACTACTGCTTTTATCTAGAGCCTTCTTGGCGCGAAGCTTTATTAAAGTAAGTGACTTTTTATTAAATATTCTCATTATCTCTAATGTACCTACATTTGTTACTTTTCAGTTTCAGTTGCTGTTCTCACTTAAGTGTGTAATAAATATCCAAAAGTAAATAGTAATTGGGTATTGATCCCTAATCCTCTAGGTAAATAACTCAACATTCAACCAAGTGTACCGTTTAGCCTTCTTGTAGCATGCGTGCCAACAGATAATGTTATACCAATTTTAGAAAATATATTCATATATGACCTAGTTTTACAGAGAGATCGCTGGTTCATTTGCCTCATCTTTTAACCTAAAGATTTGCCCTTGATTGTAATAGTCTGGTGGAAGCGGTTGAAGTCATATGATATACTTGCAAAGAAATGGTAGCTGTTTCACTATATCTTTTGGTTGGTAGGAAGAGTTTCAAGTATTTTTTGCCAAGTTTCATAAGATGTGACAGTTTAAAGTTGTTGGTTCGTGGCGACATTTGTCTTTTGCACCTCGGAGTTATGTGTTTCCGAATTGAAAGCAACCTTAACTCTTTCTTTTAGCGTTTGATGGTCAGTGAAATCACACTAGAGTTCTTTAAGAAATATGTAAATTGTTGAGGTAATAACTCGCTGCCTGTTGGAATTTGTATAACCTATCTCATTTAAAAGTTTAAGCTGTTAGAGAGAGTATACTTATATTTACCTAATTATATCCAACATGTCGCTTCATGTGCGAGCGAGTTCCGTTTTTGGTCGGACGATCATGTGGAAATTCTTTTTTATATGGGTGGTGCCATGATAGTGAGACTTGAAAGCAGGGCCTCTGTCTGCTAATACAATGTTGAAATATGCGACTTATCTCATCTAAAACCTTAAGTTATTAGAATGAGTACACTCTTATAGCTTAAGCTGTTGGAGTACGCACTTATTTACTTGATTACATCTTCAACAGAATCGTTTGTTCCTACAGGCAGATTGAAATTGACAGTAAATTCTTGGAGGAAGAGAACATTATGGATTACAGCCTCTTGTTAGGTGTTCATTATAGAGCACCTCAACACCTACAATCTCTCATTTCATGTAGTGGACGCACCACGGCAGATGGACTAGAAATTGTTGCAGAAGAAGGTTTGTCTCTCTAAACAAAAAATATCTGCATCCATTTCAATTGGTTTGTCTTACTTCCCTTTTTCGTCTGTCTCAAGACGAATGTCTCTTTCCCTTTCTGGTAATTTCTTAATTTTAACTATTTGTTAGTTTTAAAACTTTCCACAAGACCATAAATTAAAGGACATTTTGATACATTCTACGTATCTTTAGTTTTTATTTAAGACCACAACATTCAGAAGTCTTTTTTACTTTCTTAAACTCCGTGTCAAATCAAAGCGGACAAACAAATTGAAATGGAGGGAGTACTCTTTTAAGACTCAACAATTAACACTAGGACAAAAGAAGTATGACCTGATAGCTGGTGGCTTTTCAGTTAAATGATGGTTCATAATAAAGTCGAATCTCGTCATATATCTGTAGGTAGTTAAGTAAGACACTTAAATTGAAACTGAGGGAGTATAATTAAGTAATCTCGTAAAAAGAATAAAGTTATATATATCTTGTTTTTTTCTTGGCTTCATGACTTTCTATGAACAATTGTTTTGTTTTACTACTTCAAGAGTCTCTGGAGGATGAAATATCGCCACAGGGCCTTGTTTTGGTCCCACGTGGAAGTGATGATAGAGTCGTTGTGGGTCCTCATGTCAGAGGCAGCCGATTACGAGCGTCATCAGCTACCGGTGATGCGGAAGTGGACCTCCTCCTCCCCGGGACAGCAAGGTATTTTTTTGCCAGGCTTGACATTGTTAGTTTCTTAAGTTGTAGCACTCTTGTAGTCACAGTGAGATACTGGGATGTATTACTCCCTCCGTTTCAATTTGAATGTCTTACTTCCATTTTAGTCCATTTCATAAAGAATGTCTCAACCTTGATGACAAGACCTATTGAGTTTCTTGCACTGAAAACACCAAACATGAGAACACACACGACAATTGGGAATGGGCGAAATCCAGCAACTTGTTTACGACTCCTTTCAGTTGTTAGAGATGTTGCACGAAAACCTCTATGCCTTGGTACACCTAGTCTTGCTCTCTTTCGTGCAGCTTATCTCACGAGTTCATGAAATGATATATACATATATATCTATTTCAGAAAGAATGAAGACTTCAGTTGATCTTTCATGTTATGATTTTGGTGTTGACAATTATACATGCCTAAATTCATCTCTTTGCGCGTCAAGCAGATTCCAGATTCAGCTTGGGGTGAATATGCCAGCAAGGGCTGAGTACATACCAAAAGAAGGTCAAACACAGGTGTTCCACGAAGTATATGACGTTGTGTTATACCTCGGGATCATTGATATATTGCAAGAATACAACATGAGCAAGAAGTTAGAACATGCTTACAAATCGATTCAGTTTGATTCTGTTTCCATTTCTGCAGTTGACCCAACGTACTACTCGGAGAGGGTCTTGGAGTTCATTCGGAAGGTCTTCCCTACATATGCTGTAGCAACTTGAACAGTATCCTTAGCTGTTATCATTGAAATTCATCGAAACTTAGCTGTTACCATGGCAGAGAGACACAGCTGCTGTTTGTAATTTATTGAAGAGTGTATAATGCGGATTATGGATTAGTAGTTTATAGCAATGCATATATGAATATATTTTCTAAAATTGGTATAACATTATATGTTGGCACGCATGCTACAAGAAGACTAAACGGTACACTTGGTTGAATGTTGAGTTATTTACCTAGAGGATTAGAGATCAATACCCAATTACTATTTACTTTTGGATATTTACTACACACTTAAGCCAGAACAGCAACTGAAACTGAAAAGTAACAAATGTAGGTACATTAGAGAAAATGAGAATATTTAATAAAAAGTCACTTGCCTTAATAAAGCTTCGCGCCAAGAAGGCTCTAGATAAAAGCAGTAGTTCAAATCTAGATCCTTAAGTATGTATAGTGTTCTCATCAATTTCAACTTTATCAGCAGATCCTACTTGTTTTACAAAAGTCATTCCAAGGTACATGCATTACTTCTATTGATCCACCACGTTCATCAACTAAGGACATGTGCTATTTGCCCATGATAGAACAAACTATATTTTGTTGCAATGCAGTTGTAACTTATAACCACCTCATCATGTGATTAATTTGAAAGTTTTGACTGAGTGACTATGGTGCTCAAAATATCGTCCGGATCCTTCAAAAGTAATGTATTTTTGTTCAACACTTTTGAAGCTTTTTAGGATAATAGTTTTTTTGTTTCAGGTTAGATGATGGATGATAAAACACATGCAAGTGATGAATGTAGACAAACACATTCTTTTTTGGTGAGTTTCAAAGTTTAATTTTCAATTAGATGTATACAAATGGTGGTGATGGAGATATTGGTCTTACCTGCTCATGTAGCTATGGTTGCAATAGATATTCTGGGAAGAATTGGGCACCTGTAACGTGTTCTAAAGATTGTTGTCAGAGAATGCTTTTGCTTCTATGTTGTTTCAGTGTGATTTGAAACATATATTATAGCAAATAGACAAGGGACTAATCGCTGGTACGAAATATTAGTATTACTTGGCTTAAAATGTTAGCACGGAAAACATTCATCTAGTATTATTTATTTATTTATTTATTATTATTATTATTATTATTATTATTATTATTATTATTATATAGAAGAGTGAAATGGGAGGACGATCAAGGGCAAATTTGTCAAATCATAAAGATTCTAGAATTTTTCTTTCTATGTTATGATATCAAGAAAGTTGTAATATATTTATAATGACAAAACAATCAAATATATTTTCCAAAATACTAATGTTGTGACATTTAATATGGATCCACATTTTCGATCATACTTTTTTCTTAATATAGACTAATTTTTCATAAATAATTTTTAATTGTATATAAATTATCTCTTATAATTTTCATATTGTTTCATTACGACAATTAACATATGACATATATATATTTCTAATGAGTGACAATTAACTCATAACGACCTTCATATCATATTCATAACTTGCACTTTTTAGTTTTGATTTCTACTTCTTACAATCTTGAATTGTAATAAATTAGTGTCATCGTCGAGAATAAGGAACATATTAAAATATTAGATTATAAATGTTCTACAACTTAAAAAAAAACAAATGTTTTTACAATTGATATCAATACTTGAATTTTAAATTAAGTTACTTTATTACAATTTGGGTTATTATCGGCAAAATATTGATAAAAATATACTATTAAAAATAATAGTGAAAAAACTTTAGTATCTTCATTTTTAATTTTATTAAAAGGCAAAATAGTTATAAAAACTTAAATTTCATAAATATAAAATGGATCTAACGTTTGTACCCACTCCATTTCGATTTATGTAATATTTATTTGACTTAACATGAATTTTTTTTTTAAAAAAACACTTTTAAAACTCATAGTCTAAAACAAACCATAGATGTTCATATGATTATAAATCATCTTACTAAAAAATAAAATGATTATTTTGAAGTCAAAATATTATTAAATATATTAATATATTTCTACAAATATTTTTCTATATATGAAGTGAATAATAATGAAGGACAAAAATGTAATTTCACGCTAACAAAAATCTATCAAGAATGATAACCAAAAGAATAGTTACCATTAACTTATATTTTGTTATTACTTCACTTTCTTTTGTTTTGTGAGTTATTGTGATATCTATTTATTATTACTCTATTTTACTATTGCTTTAATTTTATTCTTAATATTTTTTTCTATTCATTATGCTTATAAAAAATGCATACTTTTTATATAAAAATTTATCATGAATTAATTATTTTCATCTTTATTTTGTCTCTAATAATATACTTGAAAATAAATATGTGTGATAAAATTAATAATATATATTAGATTGAAATTAAAGAAAAAGATGTTAAAAAGTATTTTACAAATAAAAATGAATAGGGTGATATATTTGTATTAAAGATGACTAAGAATAAAAAAGTAACAAAAGTCTATCAAGAATAAATAATTCTAGAAACATCTTTCTATATATGAAGTGAATGATGATCAAAGGTAAAAATACAATTTCATGCGAGCAAAAATTTACAACGAATGATAATAAGAAAATTAAATAGTTTTAGAGACATCTTTAGTTATTATTATTATTGTTGCCTCATTTTTGTTATTTCTTCATTTTTTATGAGTTATTGTGATATTTAGTTATTATGTGAAAGTAAATAATAATGAATACGCTTAGCTCTTAATAATTCTATATCAAATATAATATCAGGCGGAATCAATCAATATTAAAATTAAAATTTACATGTATATTTAAATTTTGTGTATTGAAATATCTTTTATTTTTGTGATCTTAAATATGCTATATAAAAAAAATTCATATCATTAAATTTGATGGTAAATTTCATAATTTATAGTAATATTTAGGGTTGTGTATCGGTAGGTTTGGTTCGGTTTTAAAGTTTATCGATTTGACTTATTAGTTATCGATTTGTAGATATGCTAAACTATTTTAGAACCATTAAGATATTGACTTATTGGTTTATCGGTTATTGATTATTATTGGTTCGGTTACCAGTTACATCTTTCTCAAAAGCAAACACTTTTACATTGTATTAAAACCAAGAGATTGGAACAACCAGAAATAAAAGTAGAAAACAAAACTCTCAATCAAGGACTTTATATATAAAACGATATAAATATAATTATTTAATTTACTATCAGATTATCGATTAACTCGTTTAGAAAAAAATCGTTAAGAATCGATACCCGATAATAAAATAAATAAAAAATTATCAAAATCGTTAAACCAATTATAACCCATCACGAATAAACCAATAACTTTTTTTGATTCGGGTTATTGGTATCGATTCGATTTTGAACAACCCTAGTAACATGTTCTTTAATCACACAATCTTGAAAATTCCATCTTGCAATCAACTAAGAACTCCTTGATAATCCTCTTTTTTGTCCTATGACAAACAGTTCTTCCAACATTAACTCAATTTTTTTTCTCATCAATTCCACAATTTCCCATAATCTTATATATGGTTGAAATGTAATTTCATCCTTGAACATTTCTGCAACAAACTTAGATGTACACAACTTGTTCATGGTTGATTGAGGACATACATGCTCATGATAATAATTTTTGACAATAAAATCACCAGAATCCTTATCTATACTAGCAAACAACAACCATTTACATTTTTTGTCCTCAAATTTAACTCTAATTCTTTTCTTTTTTTTGTCATTAGGCTTCAACTTTAACCTGGTTTTATATTCACAAGAATAATCTACAACAACTTTTTTAAATTGTTCAGCACTTTCAAATACCATACCAAGATCAAAAATTGCTAAAACACAATCACGATCAAATCTTTCCTTTTTAATTTTTTTCTTGGTAAATCAACACCCTGCACAAATTCTGGATCTAATTCATCCCTGCTGTTTTCACTGTCCAATTCTGAGCTATCTATATTGCTCGCCACCCCCTAGTCTTCCAGTGTATCTAGCAGCCTTAACCTTCCTATGTCTTCAAAGCCTCTATCAATACAAGTCGTTCCAAGATTTATTTCCTCAGTTTGAGTAGGTTTTTTCTTTTTCACTTTGTTTCTCCTTTCATTTCTAAAAGATCTCAATACTTCATCAACCTCATAGTCATCCACGTCAGGAATAACATCCTGTTGAGAGTCATCACTGCTTTCTTCATTTGATTCAGTCCATTTCACTTCTAGATCTGATATATCCCCTGGCTCAACTTGCACATTAACATTTTTAGATTCAGCCTCATGATTCAACCCTTCACTTGTTGTTATATTTATATCTTCTAAGTCTTCTTCAACTACAGACCCACAAAGCAAACCAGTTGTGATCACTTCAACATCATTCACCACATGCTTCACATAAAGGTCTAAAAAGTCACCATCCTTTAGGTCTTTGATAAGATTTACTAAAGTGAAATCAGTGTCCACCTCAATTAAGTCATTTTTTATGGGATCTTTAACACAGAATCCACCAACAATAATATACCCCAATTGTTTAGTGTAAAAAAGTAACTCGATTATTGAGAAGTTGTCCTTGTCGATATTAACATATTTTACCTCGTTTTTCTCTTTATAAGTAATTTCATTTTTGTGATGAATAAACTTATTACCATGATGAAAACGAGTTATAATAATGGTGTCCATAAGATTTCCTGAAACAAGGCCCCAAAAATTCTGACACGGTATTAATAATAAATTTCAAAAAACCCTAACTTTATCCAGGTATTAACAACAACCACCACATTGATACTAAAACCCAATATATATCAATAAAAAACAGAGGCCAAACAGAGATATTAGCAACACACCACCACTACAACAATAAAAATTACATTGAAATTAGAGAATGAACTTACCTCACACTCGTCAACTCGAAAATCGTGATTGAATTTCAAAATCGTCTGCAATCTTCGATGATTCCTTCAACAAAACACTCAGAATAACTTCAATATCTAGAATTTCAATTGTAAAAAAATCATTGAAAGAGAGCGATTCTTAAGATTTTCTCGTCTAGAATCGGGCTAGAAGTGTTTTGGGGGGAAATTAATTTTTAGGTTTGAGGATATAACCTGTGGCGCTGGCGTGTAATTGGGTTGAAGTATATTGGTCAAAATTTCTACGTGGGGAAGGTTCATCTCACGCGCCCA